ATACATTTCTCTGGTCTTGAGTCAACAGGTGGGTTGCTCATTACAAGATGAAGAAAATCCAGCAGAACTGTGTGGAGCACTGATGGCATGGCAAAATAATGGATCGTCAGTACCAGATGGATGTATGTATTTCTTAAAATTCCCATGTTTTTATGTACCAATATAGATGGCTCTACTTATCTTGTCCTAAGCACCCTTCAAATACTTTGATTCCAGCCTGTTCTGACTTCCTTGTCAGTACCAACTGGGGTACAAATCATCTCACTTGACATCAAACCTGTAACCGTTAGGTGTGAAGTTAAGCTGGCTGAAGATCAGATTTGGCTGCTATGGACGTTCTAAGTGCATCTACAGAGGAAGCTTAATCTTTCCCATCCCAGATGGCTGTCTTGAAAGGGTATGGGTTGCTATCCTTAATCACTCCTTTCTCTTATATAGGGAATGTAAATACTAACTTAAGATAATACGTCTAATTTTTGGATGGCTGATTCTAGAGAGCAGAAATTCTATTTTAAGGAGGCACACAAATCCTTCCATGCGGTACTGTTCTTTCTGGGATGTGGCGTCTTATGTACTTTGAGGAAGATAACAATTTAACTGCTCTGTCCTGTACTCCTGGTGTATTTGCTTGGTGCTGGGGGTGTACTGGTCCATTAGGATCCTGCTATGAAAGGCACTCAGAGTCTGTAAGATACCATTTGACCTGCTGTTTATTAGATCGAATGCTATAAGGACAGAATAATAAATAACTGATGTCCCTTTAGATGCTAAGAACCCCAAGTTATGCAGCACTGAAGAAGCATCTGATCCATGCTCAACACTATGCAGACCCCTTATTTGAAAGGGTACTCCCATTTGGATAATTTCCCAACATGCCAGCTTTTTGCTGTACTTCTAGACAAAGGCAGGATAACCCAAGTGGCATAATCACTGGTACTAAATGGGAGCTGGAGTTTTTGTGAAGGAAACTTAAAACTTGATTGCAGTACTGAATCAACAGGTGAGAATGATGTCTAGAGCAGAGATCCACGGCAGTTCTAGCCGTTTGGTTGTGTTCACTTGTAGCCTTTAATGTCAGGGAAAGGAGTTGAGCACTGAGCTGTGTATGCTCTGTTTTGCTGAGAGTTGCAGCGTGACTTACTGAGTCAAACTGCCATCTCTTCCTGGAAGGCAGGTTCCATTCAAGACACTTTTGTGGCTCGCACACTCCAGATTATGCAGATGCACGTTTAAAGGTTGTGAATGACTGGCTCTGGGTCTTCTGAAATGCTCCTTTCCTACCTATCTACTTCAACAAGTAAATAGTTTTGTGTCAAGTTAAAGATCAGAGGTCATTATTCTACCTGATCGTATTTGTGGCTTGGAGACAATCACTATGGCAGATTTCCTGCTCTGAAGAGTACTGCTATGGCATTTAGCTAAGAAACAGAAATTCTGTTGAAAAGACAGACCTCTTCTGTTACTGAGGCTTACTGTGTGGAAGTGCTTTATTGGGAGAGCAGTTTGAAGGAAATTGTCCTGAGAGCTTGAGACAATTCTAAATGTAGCTGTTTAGATCTGTTTCCAACCACCACAGAGCCGACAAGAAAGCTGCCCCAACTCCTCTGTAGAGGTCTTATGTGACTGATGATGGGGCAAGGCCAGGGCCTCCTTCTGTTACCTATCCTCCTGTCAAGGAAGAAGCATTGATGCAGTTGTGTTTTCCAGAAGAGGTGACAGGCCTTGGCAGTGTGACGTCTGCGATGCCAGCAAGGAAGTCAGGCTGGTCCTATGTAAAAGTGAGAAAAATCATCTGGATAGAAAATCATCTGGTAAATATTGCCTTCATAACCTGGGGCTCCCTTATTGCATCCGTGTGCAGAGGGACTGGGCTTTTTCTTGGTGATGGATTGACAAATTAATGAAGAAGATTCAGTATGGATCAGATAGATAGAATTGGAGCTGAAGGTCTCAGCAGCAGTATGAGATGCCTAAACAGTGTCATCCTATGAACTCAGAAGGCTCAGGGTGCATTACAGCCATACATGGATTCATGGAGTTCAGTAAAAGACTCACGGTAGGGGTTGCATGGTCAAGGCACCTGGCTTTTGATCTGAAATACGCTGCATTTAACACACGACTCAAACTGATGGTGTGGAGCCAGAGCAATGGAAATCTGTGTCCTAATATGCAATTAAGTCACATTATGGGCCTTGCAGACAAGTTTAATGTCAACAGAAAGATCAGAATTTCCCTTCTCCTATTAGAAGCTTTTAGTAGAAAAGAAAATAAAGCTTGAAATCATACTTTTTAAAAAATTATCATTATTTGGAAGAGAGTATCAGTGTACAACATGGCAAACACAGCTGAATGAAAGGATTTTCATTTGCAATTGGCTTGAAGCTAATTTCTTTTCTGTTAGGATCTCCTCTACCAAGATTTAATAGCAATCAGAGGGCTGAGGAGGCTTCCCATGCTCTTCAGTTGCAGTAGCATGTGCAGTGTCAATTTACTGGATCCGTAGGCGAAGTCTGTGCCCTTTATCTCAAATCCCTGGGCACTGCCTGCCTTTTAACTACATTTCTGGCTTTTCATCTGATGTTCCTACCCTTGTTTACAGATACTTGATTTTTACCTTGGTAATCCAGTTTGGCTTGAAACTTTATTCTGGACTATGAGCTTTGATTTCTTCCTAGGTTAACAAGAAAGCAGGCATGGTTTTAGGTTTGCTCAAAGAAAGCTTAGCAGTGGTTATGTGGGGACGTCTTAGAAGTCAAAGGTCTAGTTTCATTTGATTCTGTTTTCTGTATTGTTTACCATCTCTATCTTAATGTTTGGTGGCATAGCTGACTTCATCTCCCCAGCGTCACCAGTTCATTCGTAAGTTTGTTGCTTGGATGAATCTCAGCTGTATTCACTCCTCTCTGTGCCTTATTCTCAGATTTAGTCGTTTCCTCTTTTTTTTTCCCCAGGCATTTATTGAAGTGCAAACTTTTCCATGTAGTCCTCTTTTTCCTTTGGTGTCCAGACAGTACTACCTCCTCTTCATCCTGAGCTGATGAGATTTATTGCCACCCTGCTTCAATCTGATCAGGCAGTCAGGAACAGTCTTGCTGTTGATGGAATTGTTAAAACTTTCCCAACGGTGCTTTTTAAGAGTTTCCAGTCTCTTGAGTTTACTGTGGTAAGATCAAGGTTCTCAGAATTCTTGTATGCCTATTC